CCCTCCCATTGGCTCATCCCTTTGCCCTCACCCAATCCCCTTCCTCCCTTAACCCCTCCCTTCCCCTCCCATTGGCCCATCCCTTCCGCTTTCCTCCAATCGTGTTCCTCCTCCCTTAACCCCACCCTCCCCTTTTCCCTCACCCAATCCCCTCTCTCCCTTTTGGCCCCTCCCTCCCCGCGCAGTCCCCTCCCCTCGCTCGCTTTCCGGCAGCGTCGCGCCGCCGCCAAGTCGGAGCCGCTCTGCCGCTGCTCGCCCGCTTAGCCCCGCCTTTCCCCCCTTCCCTCAGCCAATCCCCTCCCTCCCTCACCCCTCCGCTCCGCTCCCATTGGCCCCTCCCTCCCGTCGCTCGCTTTCCGGCAGTGTCGCGCCGCCGCCATGGCGGAGCCGCTGGCCTGGTGCGTGTCGGCTCTGCGGGGCTCGGCGGGGCCGCGGCTCCGTCGGGCTCTGAGCGCGCTCCGGTCCCGGCACTCGCGGGGTCCCGGCGGCGCCGCCCGCATCCGGGAGCGGGGCGGGGTCGGGGCCCTCGTGGCGCTGCTGCGGGGCCCGGGCCCGGGCCCGGTGCTGGGAGCGGAGCTGGAGCTGGCGCTGAGCGTGCTCGGGAACCTCTGCACGGAGCGGGGCTGCAGGAGGCAGGCGAGGGACATGGGCGCGCACAGAGAGCTCGGTGAGGGGCGGGGAGCGGCGGGGGAATGGGGGGAAAATAGAGGGGGAATGGGGGTAAGAATGGAGGGGAAATGGGGGTAAGAATGGGGTAAAACCGGAGGTAAAAATGGGGGTAAGAATGGGGGGGGAATGGGGTAAGAATGGGGGTGAAATGGGGGTAAGAATGGGGTAAAAGCGTGGGTAAAATAAGGGGGGGAATGGGGGTAAGAATGGGGTAAAATAAGGGGGGAATGGGGATAGGAATGGGGGTAAAATGGGGAAGTGGGGGGAATGGGGAATGCGAGAAGGGGACGGGAATGGGGGGAAATTTGGTAAAAATGCGAGGGAAATAGGGCGAATGAGGGGGGAAATGAGAGGAAATTGCGAGAAATGGGGTTAAAACGGGGGGAATGAGGTAAAAATGGGGTTAAAATGGGGAAATGAGGGGGAAATGGGGTTAAAGGAGGGAAGGAGGGAAAGGAGGGTGGAAATGGGGTAAAATAGGGGAAGAAATGGGGGGGGATGGACTTAAATGGGGAAATTGGGTAAACCAAGTGGGGAAATGGGGTTAAAATGGTAAAATGGGGTAAAATGTGGGGGAAATAGGATAAAATTGGCTTAAAATGGGTTAAAGTGGCGTGAAATGGAGTTAAAATGGGGGGCAATGGGGTAAAATGACCTCATAGACCCCCATTACCCCAGTGATCCCATTGACCCCCATTACCCCAGTGATACCATTGACCCCCATTACCCCAGTGATCCCGTTGACCCCCATTACCCCAGTGATCCTATTGACCCCCATTAACCCAGTGATACCATTGACCCCCATTACCCCATTGATCCTATTGACACCCATTACCCCATTGATCCTATTGACCCCCATTACCCCATTGATCCCATTGACACCCATTACCCCATTGATCCTATGATCCCATTGACACCCATTACCCCATTGATCCTATTGACCCCCATTACCCCACTGATCCCATTGCCCCCCCCCCCAGTGTCGCTCCTCTCCCTGCCCGGCCCCGAGTGCGTCCTCTCCCGCGTGGTTCGGACCCTGGCAAACCTGGCCCTGGAGCCTGAGGGCGCCCGCGACATCCTCGAGGCTGGTGAGGGCCATGGGGTGGTCTGTGGGGCGCTATGGGGGGTCTGTGGGGGGTTATGGGGGTCTGTGGGGTTTCTATAGGGGTCTGGGGGGTTCTACTGGGTGTCTATGGGGGTGCAGGCAGGGGTTTGCTGCGCGGCCTGCAGGGGGCGGGGTCAGCCGAGGACACGCCCACCCCTCTCTGGGCTAATGGGGTCCTGTGGGGGGCTATGGGGTATTCATAGGGGTTTGTTTGGTGCCCATAGGGACCCGTTTGGTACGCATAGGACTCCCATTGTTTTCCGTAGGGTTCCCTTTGGTATCCATAGGGCTCCCATTGCTCTCCATAGGGCTGCCATTGCTCCCCATAGGGGCTCCCATTGCTCCCCATAGGGGCTCCCAATGCTCTCCATAGAGCTGCCATTGCTCCCCATAGGGGCTCCCATTGCTCTCCATAGGGCTGCCATAACTCCCCATAGGGGCTCCCATTGCTCCCCATAGGGCTTCCACTGCTCCCCACAGGGCTCCCATTGCTCTCCATAGGGGCTTCTATTGCTCTCCATAGGGGCTCCCACTGCTCCCCATAGGGCTCCCACTGCTCCCCATAGGGCTCCCACTGCTCCCCATAGGGCTCCCATTGCTCCCCATAGGGTTCCTATTGCTATCCATAGGGGCTTCTATTGCTCTCCATAGGGGCTCCCACTGCTCCCCATAGGGGCTCCCACTGCTCCCCATAGGGCTCCCATTGCTCCCCATAGGGTTCCTATTGCTCCCCATAGGGCTCCCACTGCTCCCCATAGGGCTCCCACTGCTCCCCATAGGGCTCCTATTGCTCTCCATAGGGGCTCCCATTGCTCTCCATAGGGCTCCCATTGCTCTCCATAGGGGCTTCTATTGCTCCCCATAGGGCTCCTATTGCTCCCCATAGGGGCTCCCACTGCTCCCCATAGGGCTCCCACTGCTCCCCATAGGGGCTCCCACTGCTCCCCATAGGGCTCCCACTGCTCCCCATAGGGGCTTCTATTGCTCTCCATAGGGCTGCCACTGCTCCCCATAGGGGCTCCCACTGCTCCCCATAGGGGCTTCTGTTGCTCCCCATAGGGGCTCCCACTGCTCCCCCCCCCCCATTCCCCACAGGTGCCGCCCCCCTCCTGGTCTCCCTGTGCCTCTCCTGCGGCTCGGCCTCGTGCCTGCACGGCGCCGCTCGCGCCCTGCGCATCCTGGGCTCGGCTCCGTGCCACCGGCGCTCGCTGGCCTCCTGCGGCGCGGTGGCGGCTCTGGCCTCGCGCCTGGCGGCGCTGCCCGCGTCCCACCCCGCTGCCCCGTCGCTGGCCCGCGCCCTGCGCGCGCTCACGCAGCCGCCCTGCGCCGCGCTGCCGGACCTGCTCCCGGCGCTGCCGGCGCTGGCGGCCCTGGCGGCGCAGCCCAAGGCGGAGCTGCGGTGCCCGGCGCTGGGCGCCATCGCCAACGCCTGCGCCCTGGGCACCCTGCGCCCGGCGCTGGGGGCGGCCGGCGCCGTGGAGCCGGTGCTGGAGGAGCTGCGCCGGAGCCGGGAGCTTCCCGACGGAGCCGGCGCCCTCCGCGCCCTCTGCCTCCTGTGCCGGGAGGCCGTGAACCGCGTCCGCATCCGCGCCGGCGGCGGCCTGGAGCTGCTGCTGCGGGGCCTGGAGCGGCCCCAGGGCGAGGCGAGCAGGGGCCGCATCCTGCTGGCGCTGGCGGCCTTCGCCTACGACCAGGAGGCGCTGGAGGCCCTGGAGGCGCTGGGAGCGGTGCCGGTGCTGGTGGAGCTGCTGCAGGGAATGGAGGAGCCGGGGGACGGCGAGGACGAGGACGACGAGGACGACGAGGAGGAGGAGGAAGCGGCCGCGTCCTGCGACCAGCCCAGGGATGTGACGGAGCAGAACAGGGCGGCCACCGGGAGCTTCCGGGGGCTGCGGTGAGGGATGGGATGGGATGGGGTTGGGAGGTGATGGAGATGGAATGGGGGTGGATGGAGGTGGTGGGGTGGGGTTGGGAGGTGATGGAGATGGAATGGGGATGGATGGAGGTGGTGGGGTGGGGTTGGGAGGTGATGGAGATGGAATGGGGGTGATGGGGTGGGATGGGATGGGGTTGGGAGGTGATGGAATGGGGATGGATGGAGGTAGAGTGGGGTTGGGATAGGGTTGGGATGGATGGGAGATGGTGGGATGGGGGTTCTCATTGTTCCTAATGGGCTCTTTAGGGTTCCTAATGATCCTTAACTGGTCCCTGATTGATCCCCAATGATGGCTAATGGATCCCTAACGGGTTCCCTATGGATCCCTAAAGGGTTATAATGGATCCCTAATGGTCGTTAGTGATCCCTAATGGGTTTCTAATGAGTTCCTAATGGTTCGTTATGGATCTCTAATGGTCATTAGTGGTCCCTAATGTGTTTTTATGGGTCTCTAGTGCTCCCTAGTTGATCCCTAACGGTCCCTAACGGGTCCTAAGGCATTCCTGATGGATCTCTAATGGTCCCTAATTGATTCCTGTTGGCTCCCTATCGGATCCCTAATGATCCGTAAGGATCCCTAACACGTCCCTATCAGATCCCAATGGACGCGTAATGGTCTGTAACGGATCCCTATTGATCCTTGTTGCCTCCGCATTGGATCTCTAATGGATCGCTGATGATCCCTAATGGGTCCTAATGCATCACGAATGGATCCCTAACGGATCCCAAAGGCTCGCTAATGGATCCCAGCTGATCCCTAACGGTTCTCGTATGGATCCCAGCTGATCCCAAATTGATCCCTGACGGATCCCCACTGATCCCAATGGATCCCAGCTGATGCCAAGTGGATCCCAATTGATCACTGGCTGATCCCGAATGGATCCCAATTGGTCCCTGGCGGATCCCAAGTGGATCTCCACTGATCCCAATGGATCCCAGCTGATCCCTGATAGATCCCACTGGATCCCGGCTGATCCCTGATAGATTCCACTGGATCCCAGCTGATCCCTGATGGATCCCAATTGATCACTGGCTGATCCCGAGTGGATCCCAATTGATCCATTACGGATCCCAAGTGGATCCCCACTGGATCCCAGCTGATCCCTGGTGGATCCCAGTGGATCCCTAATGGGTCCCATTGGCTCCCATTGGCTCCCTAACGCCTCCCACCTCTCTCTTCCTCCCGCAGGTCCTGGCTGCTCTCGGAATCCCTCTCGCCGCCTCCCTCCCCTCCCCCGCCTCCCTCCTGCTCGCCCCCTCCCCATTACCCGCCCCTCCCCCCTCTGGCCCTGCCGCAGGGGGCGGGGCCGTGGCGCTGGGGGCGTGGCCGTCGGGGCCCGATCCTGCTGCTGCTGTCGCGGCTGGGGCTGCGCGCGGAGCCGAGCCCGGCGCTGCTGGAGCCCGCGGTGCTGGGGGGGCTCCTGCGGGCCCTGGGGGGCGGGGCCAGGGGCGGGGCGGCCACGCCCCTTTCCCCGGTGCTGGCGCGGCTCCTGCAGCGCGTCCTGGGCCACGCCCCCTTCCTGGGCGCGCTCGTGCGCGGGTTCGTCCCCTCCCTGCTGCGGAGCCGGCTCGTGCTGGGGGGGGAGGGGAGAGCCCGCAGGGAGCTCGGTGAGGGCATGGGGGGGGCGTCTGTGGGGGGGGGATGTGGGGGTCATGGGGGGGGATATGGGGGGGATATGGGGGGGATATGGGGGGGATATGGGGGTCTATGGGGGGGATATGGGGGTCTATGGGGGGATATGGGGGTCTATGGGGGGGATATGGGGGGGATATGGGGGTCTATGGGGGGATATGGGGGTCTATGGGGGGGATATGGGGTTCCTATGGGGGGGATATAGGGGTCTATGGGGGGATATGGGGGGGCTATGGGGGTCTATGGGGGAGATATGGGGGTCTATGGGGGGATATGGGGGTATGGGGGGATATGGGGTGGTCTATAGGGGAGATATAGGGCAGTACATAGGGGTCTATAGGAGGGATATGGGGGGTTATAGGGAGGGATAAAGGGGTCTTTGGAGGGAGATAGGGGTGATATAAGGGGCTATAAGGGGATGGGGGGATATAGGGTATATGGGGATATAAGGGGGGCTCTATGGGTGCTGTAGGGCTCTCGGGCTCTATGGGTGCTATGGGGCTGTATGGGTGCTGTAGGGCTCTATGGGCGCTATAGGGCGCTGTGGGGCTCTATGGGCGCTATAGGGCGCTGTGGGGCTCTATGGGCGCTGTGGGGCTCTATGGGTGCTATAGGGCGCTGTGGGGCTCTATGGGCGCTATAGGGCTCTGTGGGGCTCTATGGGTGCTATAGGGCTCTGTGGGGCTCTATGGGTGCTATGGGGCTGTATGGGCGCTATAGGGCTCTGTGGGGCTCTATGGGTGCTATAGGGCGCTGTGGGGCTCTCTCTGTCGCCCCCTGCAGGCGAGGCTCTGCTCCGCACCGTGGCTGCCGTGGCCGCGGCCCCGTTCGGCGTCGGGCTCCTGACGCACATGATGCGCTGCGGGAGCGCCCCCGCGCGGCTGGCGTGCGCCACTGCGCTGCCCCTCATTGCCGGGTGAGTACCGAGACCCATAGAGCCCCATTGATACCCCATAGATAACCCATAGAGCCTTATAGATACCCATTGATAGCACCTGGCGTGCGCCACTGCGCTGCCCCTCATTGCCGAGTGAGTACCGGGACCCATAGAGCCCCATTGATACCCCACAGAGCCCCATAGGTACCCCATAGAGCCCCATAGAGCCTTATAGATACCCATTGATAGCACCTGGCGTGCGCCACTGCGCTGCCCCTCATTGCCGAGTGAGTACCGAGACCCATAGAGCCCCATTGATACCCCATAGAGCCCCATAGGTACCCCATAGAGCCTTATAGATACCCATTGATAGCAGCTGGTGTGCGCCACTGCGCTGCCCCTCATTGCCGAGTGACCCCGGGACCCATAGAGCCCCATTGATACCCCACAGAGCCCCATAGGTACCCCATAGATACCCCATAGAGCCTTATAGATACCCATTGATAGCACCTGGCGTGCGCCACTGCGCTGCCCCTCATTGCCGAGTGAGTACCGAGACCCATAGAGCCCCATTGATACCCCATAGAGCCCCATAGGTACCCCATAGAGCCTTATAGATACCCATTGATAGCAGCTGGTGTGCGCCACTGCGCTGCCCCTCATTGCCGAGTGAGTACCGGGACCCATAGAGCCCCATTGATACCCCATAGAGCCTTATAGATACCCCATAGATACCCCATAGAGCCTTATAGATACCCATTGATAGCACCTGGCGTGCGCCACTGCGCTGCCCCTCATTGCCGAGTGAGTACCGGGACCCATAGAGCCCCATTGATACCCCATAGAGCCCCATAGAGCCTTATAGATACCCATTGATAGCACCTGGCGTGCGCCACTGCGCTGCCCCTCATTGCCGAGTGAGTACCGGGACCCATAGAGCCCCATTGATACCCCATAGAGCCCCATAGATACCCTATAGAGCCCCATAGATAACCCATAGAGCCTTATAGATACCCATTGATAGCAGCTGGTGTGCGCCACTGCGCTGCCCCTCATTGCCGAGTGAGTACCGAGACCCATAGAGCCCCATTGATACCCCACAGAGCCCCATAGATACCCCATAGAGCCCCATAGGTACCCCATAGAGCCTTATAGATACCCATTGATAGCAGCTGGCGTGCGCCACTGCGCTGCCCCTCATTGCCGAGTGAGTACCGAGACCCATAGAGCCCCATTGATACCCCATAGAGCCCCATAGGTACCCCATAGAGCCCCATAGGTACTCCATAGATGCCCCATAGAGCCTTATAGATACCCATTGATAGCAGCTGGTGTGCACCACTGCGCTGCCCCTCATTGCCGAGTGAGTACCGAGACCCATAGAGCCCCATAGGTACCCCATAGAGCCCCATAGGTACTCCATAGAGCCTTATAGATACCCATTGATGCCAGCTGGCGTGCGCCACTGCGCTGCCCCTCATTGCCGAGTGAGTACCGAGACCCATAGATACCCCACAGATACCCCATAGATACCCCATAGAGCCTTGTAGATATCCACTGATGCCAGCTGGCTGTGCCACTGCGCTGCCCCTCATTGCCAAGTGAGTACCGAGACCCATAGAGACCTATAGAGACCCACAGATACCCCATAGAGCCTTATAGATACCCATTGATGCCAGCTGGCGTGTGCCACTGTGCTGCCCCTCACTGCTGAGTGAGTACCAAGCCCCATAGACACCCCACAGATACCCCATAGAGCCTTATAGATACCCACTGATAGCGGCTGGCGTGCGCCGCTTCGCTGCCCTTCATTGCCAGGTGAGTATGGACACCTATAGAGCCCCATAGACACCCCATAGGGCCCTATAGATATCTATAGACGACACCCCATAGACCCCCATTACCCCCCCCCAGCTGCCTCCCCGCTCCCCTTAGCGTGTCCTTAGCATGACGTTGGCGTGTCCTTGGCGTGTGCAGGCCCTCGTCCCCGGCCCACGAGCTGCTGTGGGGCGGGGGGGGCGTGGCCCTGCTGCTCTCGGCCGTGGCCCAGGGCCCCGGCTCCCCCTACGAGCCCCCCCCCGGCTTCCTCCTGTACGCGGCCGACGCCATCGCCCTCCTGCGGGCACACGCCAAGGACACGCTGCAACACGCTATGGACACGGCAATGGATCCGATGGACACGGCAATGGATCCTATGGACACACCGGAACATGATAAGGACACGGCAGAGCACGCTAAGGACACGGCAATGCATCCTGTGAACACGCCAGGACACGCTAAGGACACGCTAGGACACACTAAGGACACGGCGATGGATCCTAGGGACACGGCAGCGGAGGATGCTCTGGAGCAAGGCAGCAAGGATGAGGTATGGGGCTGGGGGGTAGAGAGACCTATGGGTACCCTGTAGGCACCCTATGGATACCCTATAGGTATCAGTACCATAAAGGTGCCCGTAAACCCCTATAGACACCCACAGGCACCCCATAGACCCCACTGACCCCCACACCTCTCTCCCCCACAGGTCTCCGCTGGGCCCAGCCCCATGGAGCCGTGGGGCTTCGGGAGCCGCCTCCCCCCGCTCCTGTCCCCTCTGCCGCACGGCGGCGCGGGGGGGGCCCAGAGCCCCAGTGGGGATGGGGGGGGCTCCAGTGCCCCTCCTGTCCCTGCCCACCCATTCCCGACCTCTCCCATCCCATCTCCATTGGGTCCCAATGCATCGCCCAGCCTCTTCCCAAGCTCCATCCCATCTCCCGCCTCTTCCAACGCATCCCCATTGGGTGCCAGTCCATCCCCATTGGGTCCCAGTGGATCTCCATTGGGTTCCAATGCATTTCCCACCCCATTCCCAACCTCCAGCCCATCTCCATTGAGTTCCAATGCATCTCCCACCTCTTCTAGTGCATCCCCATTAGGTTCCAATGCGTCCCTGTTGGGTTCCAGTGCGTCCCTATTGGCTCCCAATGGGTTTCCATTGGCTCCCAATGCATCCCTATTGGCTCCCGATGGGTCTCCATTGGCTCCCAATGCATCCCTATTGGCTCCCGATGGGACTCCATTGACTTGCAACCCTTCTCCATTGACTCCCAATGCATCCCCGTTGGCTCCCAATGCATCCCTATTGGCTCCCAATGGGTCTGCATTGGCTCCCAACGCATCCCTATTGGCTCCCAGTGCCTCCCCGTTGGCTCCCGATGGGTCTGCATTGGCTCCCAATGCATCCCTATTGGCTCCCAATGGGTCTCCATTGGCTCCCAATGCATCCCCATTGCCTCCCAACCCATTCCCATTGGCTACTAACCCATCTCCATTGGTTCCCAATGCATCCCTATTGGCTGCCCACCCATCCCCGTTGACTCCCAATGCCTCCCCGTTGGCTCCCAATGCATCCCTATTGGCTCCCGATGGGTTTCCATTGGCTCCCAACGCATCCCTATTGGATCCCAATGCATCCCCGTTGGCTCCCGATGGGTTTCCATTGGCTCCCAACGCATCCCTGTTGGCTCCCAGTGCCTCCCCGTTGGCTCCCGATGGGTTTCCATTGGCTCCCAATGCATCCCTATTGGCTCCCAATGGGTCTGCATTGGCTCCCAACGCATCCCTGTTGGCTCCCAGTGCCTCCCCGTTGGCTCCCGATGGGTCTCCATTGGCTCCCAATGCATCCCTATTGGCTCCCAATGGGTCTGCATTGGCTCCCAACGCATCCCTATTGGCTCCCAATGCATCCCCGTTGGCTCCCAATGCATCCTTATTGGCTCCCGATGGGTCTGCATTGGCTCCCAATGCATCCCTATTGGCTCCCAATGGGTCTGCATTGGCTCCCAACGCACCCCTGTTGGCTCCCAGTGCCTCCCCGTTGGCTCCCAATGGGTCTGCATTGGCTCCCAGTGCCTCCCCGTTGGCTCCCGATGGGTCTGCATTGCCTCCCAGTGCCTCCCCATTGCCTCCCAACCGCTCCCTATTACCTCCCGCGGCCTCGCCTCTGGCTCCGCCGCAGCCTCCGCTCCGCCGCCCCGCTGCCCCGTGCCCGTACTCCCTGTCCCCGCACGACCTGGCGGTGCTGCCGTCGGGCCGCCCGCCGCGCTCCCGCCCGCTGCCCGCGTCTCGCTCGGCGCTCTCGGCCTCGTCGCCGGTGCTGGGCGCCATGCTGGGGGGCCGCTTCTCGGAGGGCCGCCGGGCTTGGGTGTCTCTGGGCTGCGCCCCCGCGGCGCCGCTGCTGCTGCTGCTGCACTTCCTGCACGGCTGCCGCCGCCGCTCCTGCCCGCTCTGGGCCTCGCCGCTCGCCCCCGGCGTGGCGGGAGCCGCGTTGGCGCTGGCGCGCCGGTTCCTGCTGCGGGAGCAGCGCCCCCTGGAGGCGGCGGTGGCGGCGGGGGTGCGCGCGGCGCCGGGCGCGCTGTGGGCGCTGGCGGAGCGCTGGGGGTCGGCGGCGCTGGCGCGGCGGGCGGCGCGCGCGCTCCTGCAGGGGGCGCCCCAGCGCGTGGCGCGCCGGCTCGGGGCGGCGGCGGCGCGCGCGCGGAGCCCGCGGCTCCTGGCGCAGGCGCTCATGGGAGCCATCGACCCGCGGCGGGGGGGCGGGGGGGAGGAGGGGCTGGAGATGGGGGCGGGGTGGGGGGGGGACCCCCTGGTGCTGAGGGGGGCAGGGGAGGGGGACGGGGACCTGGAGGAGGGGTTCGGGGTGGGGGAGGGCGGGGAGGAGGAGGACGAGGAGGAGGAGGAGGGGGAGGGGGAGGGGGAGGAGGGGGGCGGCTATGGGGGGCCCTACACGGAGCTGTGGGAGCGCCTCGCGGGGAACCACGCGGAGCTCCAGGACCCGCAATGGGACCCAAGCCAGACCCACGGGGACCCACAGAGAGAGACCCACAGAGAGACCCATAGGGACCCACAGAGAGAGACCCACAGGGACCCACAGAGAGAGACCCACAGGGACCCACAGAGAGAGACCCACAGGGACCCACAGAGAGAGACCCACAGGGACCCACAGAGAGAGACCCATAGGGACCCACAGAGAGAGACCCACAGGGACCCACAGAGAGAGCCCCACAGGGACCCACAGAGAGAGCCACAGAGGGACCTAAGAGAGACCCATAGGGACCCACAGAGAGAGCCACAGAGGGACCCACAGAGGGAAATAAGGGACACCCATAGGGAGCCACAGAGGGACCCACAAAGGGACCTAAGGGACACCCATAGGGACCTCAGGGAGCCCTATGGGGACCTAAGGGAGCCCCAGAGGGACCTAAGGGAGACCCAGAGGGACCCACAGAGAGAGCCACAGAGGGACCTAAGGGAGCCCCATAGGGAACCCCATTGGGACCCCCATAAGGACCTAAGTGAACCCCATAGGGACCCACATAGGGACCTAAGTGAACCCCATAGGGACCCGCATAGGGACCTAAGTGAGCCCCATAGGGATCTACGCAAGCCCCATAGGGACCCACATAGGGAACCCCATAGGGACACCCATAGGGACCTAAGCGAGCCACATAGGGACCCACATAGGGACCTAAGGGAACCCTATAAGGACCTCAGAGAGCTACAGGAGCACCACAGGGACCTAAAGGAACCCCATAGGGACCCACATAGGGAACCCCATGCGGACTTAAGCAACTGCTATAGGGACCCCCATAAGGACCTAAGGGAGCCCTGTGAGGACCTCGAAGAGCTACAGGAGCCCCATAGGGACCTAGGGGACCCCCCTCAGGACCCACATAAAGACCTAATGGACCCCCATAGAGACCCCCCTAAGGACCTCGAAGAGCCACAGGAGCCCCATAGGGACCCCCATAAGGGCCTAATGGACCTGGGCCATGACTTGGGGGTCCCCTATGGGGCCTCCACCTCCGAAGGACTGCTCTGAATGTGGGGAATGGGACCTATGGATGGGATGGAACCTATGGATGGGGACCTATGGATGAGACCTATGGATGGGATGAGACCTATGGATGGGATGGAACCTATGGATGGGATGAGACCTATGGATGGGACCTATGGATGGGGACCTATGGATGGGATGGAACCTATGGATGGAACCTATGGATGGGATGAGACCTATGGATGAGACCTATGGATGGGGACCTACGGATGAGACCTATGGATGTGACCTATGGATGTAACCTATGGATGGGATGGAACCTATGGATGGGGACCTATGGATGGAACCTATGGATGGGATGAGACCTATGGATGGGGACCCTTCCCATGGGGGTCAATGGAGGCCCCATTGATGGGGACAGAGAAGCTGAAGGAGCTCGGAGCCCCCTTGGGGGGCCCATAAGGATCTATAGGCCCCCCCCATAAAGCCCATTGAGGCCCCCCCATGGTGGTGGTGGGGGGGTCACCCGGTTTTGGGTTCATTTCCTGGGGTTTTGGAGCCGCCGTTGGAGCGCTGGGATCCCAATAAAGGAGGTGCAAAACGGCCCCGGTGTTCCCGGCCTTGGGCCCCACTGATTCCATGGGGCAGGGATCCCTTCCACCCCCCCCATTCCCAACCACTTCCGGCCTCTTCCCGCCCTTTTCCTGGCCGGATCCCAACATTCCGGACACAGCCATATAAGGGCATGGAGGGGCCCTGCGTGTGATGACGTCATCAAGGGGGGGGTGGAAAGAAGGGGGGGGGGGGGAAGGGCTCCGGCCATGGAGGACCTGGGTAGGACCCATAGGGATGGGGCTGTGGGACCCATAGGGAATGGATCCATAGGGATGGGGCTGTGGGACCCATAGGGAATGGATCCATAGGGATGGGGCTGTGGGACCCATAGGGAACCCAATGGGGCTGTGGGACCCATAGGGAATGGATCCATAGGGATGGGGCTGTGGGACCCATAGGGAATGGATCCACAGGGATGGGGCTGTGGGACCCATAATGGGAATGGAATGGACCCATAGGGATGGGGCTGTGGGACCCATAGGGAATGGACCATAGGGATGGGGCTGTGGGACCCATAGGGAATGGATCCATAGGGATGGGGCTGTGGGACCCATAGGGAATGGATCCATAGGGATGGGGCTCTGGGACCCATAGGGAGGGGCTCTGGGACCCATAGGGAATGGACCCATAGGGATGGGGCTGTGGGACCCATAGGGAATGGATCCATCGGGATGGGGCTGTGGGACCCATAGGGAATGGATCCACAGGGATGGGGCTGTGGGACCCATAGGGAATGGATCCATAGGGATGGGGCTGTGGGACCCATAGGGAATGGATCCATAGGGATGGGGCTGTGGGACCCATAGGGAATGGATCCATAGGGATGGGGCTGTGGGACCCATAGGGAATGGATCCATCGGGATGGGGCTGTGGGACCCATAGGGAATGGATCCACAGGGATGGGGCTGTGGGACCCATAGGGAATGGACCCATAGGGATGGGGCTGTGGGACCCATAGGGAATGGATCCATAGGGATGGGGCTGTGGGACCCATAGGGAATGGATCCATAGGGATGGGGCTGTGGGACCCATAGGGAATGGATCCATAGGGATGGGGCTGTGGGACCCATAGGGAATGGATCCGTAGGGATGGGGCTGTGGGACCCATAGGGAATGGACCCATAGGGATGGGGCTGTGGGACCCATAGGGAATGGATCCATAGGGATGGGGCTGAGGGACCCATAGGGAATGGATCCACAGGGATGGGGCTGTGGGACCCATAGGGAATGGGATAGGGGGTGGACCCATAGGGATGGATCTATGGGTACTGCCCCAGATGCCCTCTTGGCCGACCTGGAGACAACAGCATCGAACCTGAGCCTGGAGCCCGCTCCACGTGGAAAGGTGGGAATGGGAATGGAATATGGAATATATGATGTGGGGTGTGGGGTAGGGGATGTGGGATACGGGGTATATGGGGTATGGGATGTGGGGTATGGGATGTGGGATGTAGAATATGGGGTATATGGGGTATGTGGGATATGGGGTATATGGGATATGGGGTGTGGGATATGGGATGTGGGGTGTGGGATGTGGGATACGGGGTATATGGGCTATGGGATATAGGGTATGGGATATGGGGTATATGGAGTATGGGATATGGGGTATATGGAGTATGGGATATGGGGACCCCCTTATGTCCCATTAACCCTCTATGTGCTGGTGTCCAGGTGCCTGGAGGTGACACAGAGCAGCTCTACAGGTATGGGGGCAATGGGGACCAATGGGAGGCAATGGGGACCAATGGGAATCAATATGGATCAATGGGAATCAATGGGGATCAATGGGGATCAATGGGAGGCAATGGGAGTCAATGGGGACCAATGGGAATGAATATGGAACAATGGGAGTCAATGGGGATCAATGGGAATCAATGGGGATCAATGGGAATCAATGGGGACCAATGGGGATCAATGGGGATCAATGGGAGTCAATGGGGACCAATGGGAATCAATATGGATCAATGGGAATCAATGGGGATCAATGGGAGGCAATGGGAGTCAATGGGGACCAATGGGAATGAATATGGAACAATGGGAGTCAATGGGGATCAATGGGAATCAATGGGGATCAATGGGAATCAATGGGGACCAATGGGAGTCAATGGGGATCAATGGGAATCAATATGGATCAATGGGAATCAATGGGAATCAATTGGGACCAATGGGAGTCAATGGGTCATGGGCGCCACCATTGCGGTTGGGGGGGGGGGGCTCATGCTGGGCTGTTCCAATCCCCCCCCCCCCCCCCCCCCAGCACAGTGCAGAAGCCGCGGCCGCCCCCCCCCGGCCTTGGGGAGCTCGATCGGCTCCTGCGGGACCTGAACGCGACCCACAGCTGCATCGCAGGTACCAAAATACCCCAAAATCACCCCAAAACCGCCCCAAAACACACCAAAATCACCCCAAAACACCCCAAAATCACCCCAAAACACACCAAAACCGCCCCAAAACACACCAAAATCACCCCAAAACACCCCAAAACACCCTGAAATCACCACAAAACCGCCCCAAAATCACCCCAAAACACACCAAAACCGCCCCAAAATCACACCAAAACCGCCCCAAAATCACCCCAAAACACACCAAAACCGCACCAAAATCACCCCAAAACACACCAAAATCAGCCAAATCACCCCAAAATCACCCCAAAACCGCCCCAAAACACACCAAAACCGCCCCAAAATCACCCCAAAACACCCCAAAATCACCCCAAAACACCCCAAAATCACCCCAAGACACCCCAAAACCGCCCCAAAACACCCCAAAACCGCCCCCAAATCACCCCAAAACACCCCAAAATCACCCCAAAACACACCAAAACCGCACCAAAATCACCCCAAAACACCTCAAAACCGCCCCAAAACACCCCAAAATCACCCCAAAACACCCCAAAATCACCCCAAAACACCCCAAAACCGCCCCAAAACCGCCCCAAAACACCCCAAAGCCACCCCAAAACACCCCAAAATCACACCAAAACACCCAAAATCAGCCCAAAACACCCCAAATCACCCTGAAATCACCCCAAAACCGCCCCAAAACACCCCAAAATCACCCCAAAATCACCCCAAAATCACCCCAAAACACCCCAAAACAGCCCCAAATCACCCCAAAATCACCCCAAAACACCCCAAAACACCCCAAAATCACCCCAAAACACCCCAAAACCGCCCCCAAAACACCCCAAAGCTGCCCCAAAACACACCAAAATCACACCAAAACACCCAAAACCGCCCCAAAACACCCCAAAACACACCAAAACCGCCCCAAAACACACCAAAATCACCCCAAAACACACCAAAACACACACCAAAACCGCCCCAAAATCACCCCAAAACACACCAAAACCGCACCAAAATCACCCCAAAACACACCAAAATCAGCCAAATCACCCCAAAATCACCCCAAAACCGCCCCAAAACACACCAAAACCGCCCCAAAATCACCCAAAAACACCCCAAAATCACCCCAAAACACCCCAAAATCACCCCAAAACACCCCAAAACCGCCCCAAAACCGCCCCAAAACACCCCAAAATCACACCAAAACACCCAAAATCAGCCCAAAACACCCCAAATCACCCTGAAATCACCCCAGAACTGCCCCAAAAAAACGAAAATCAACCCAAAACACCCCAAAACACCCAAAATCAGCCCAAAACACCCCAAATCACCCTGAAATCACCCCAAAACCGCCCCAAAACACCCCAGAATCACCCCAAAATCACCCCAAAATCACCCCAAAACACACCAAAACCGCACCAAAATCACCCCAAAACACCCCAAAACACCCCAAAATAGCCCAAAATCACCCCAAAACACCCCAAAATACCCCCAAAACACCCCAAAACCGCCCCCAAAATCACACCAAAACACCCAAAATCAGCCCAAAACACCCCAAATCACCCTGAAATCACCCCAAAACTGCCCCCAAAAAACGAAAATCAACCCAAAACACCCAAAATCAGCCCAAAACACCCCAAATCACCCTGAAATCACCCCAAAACCGCCCCAAAACACCCCAGAATCACCCCAAATCCCCCGAAATCACCCAAAAAAACCCAAAATCAGCCCAAACCACCCCCAAGTCACAAAAAATCACCTCAAAGTCACCCGAACCCCCCCCAAGTCTCCCGAAATTCACCCCAAATCACCCACAAGTCACCTCAAAATCACCTCAAATCACCCAAAATCACCCCAAATCTCCCCAAATCTCCCCAAATCACCCCCAAGTCACCTCAAAATCACCTCAAATCACCCAAAATCACCCCAAATCTCCCCAAATTCACCCCAAATCACCCCCAAGTCACCTCAAAATCACCTCAAATCACCCCAAATCACCCCAAATCTCCCCAAATTCCCCCCAAGTCACCCCCAAAGCACACCAGAGCCCCCCAAACCTCTTTATTCACCCCAAACCCCCCCTTCAGATGAGCTCTTGGCCCAGTTGCCCCCCTCGAAGCCCCCCGAGGAGCTGAAGGCCCCATTGGACGCCGGTGAGGATGGAGCAGCCCCAGCTGGGTGAGCAGGACCCCAAACCCGGGGCTTTTCACCCCAAAATTGGGGATTTTTGACCCCAAAATGGGGGGGGGTTGACCCCAAAATGGGGATTTTTGACCCCAAAATGGGGTGTTTCATTACAGAACTTGCTCTATTCACCGAAATAGGGGTCTTTTCACCCCCAAATATGAGCCGTTTGACCCAAAAAAGGGGCATTTTGGCCCCAAAGAGGGGTTTTTTGACAAAAAAAGAGGGTTTTTTTGACAAAAAAAAGTGGATTTTGACCCAAAAATGGGGTGTTTTGTTGCAAAACTTGCACTTTACATCTAAAAATGGCTCTTTTCACCCCAAATATGACGGCTTCATCCCAAAAAAAGGGCTTTTTTGACCACAAAAAGGGGCATTTTGACCCCAAACTGGAGTGTTTTGACCCCAAACTGGAGTGTTTTGACCCCAAACTGGAGTTTTTTGACCCCAAACTGGAGGTTTTTGACCCCAAAATCGGGTTTTTTGACCCCAAACCGGGTGTCCCCCCCCTCAGGCCCGCGGCGCCCCCGGGCACCCCCTCTGCAGCCACGCAGGAGCTGGACGCGCTCATGGCCTCCCTGTCCCTCTTCCACCTCCAGCACCAGGTGAGGCCAAGGGGGGGCCCCACCGAGCCCCACGGGGCCCCTTCGGCCCCACAAGTGCTTGAACCCCCCCTCCCCCCACCCGTTTCCAGCGCCCCCCAAGTGTGGGGCAGGACCTGGACTCGCTGCTGCGGGTGCTGCAGAAGGACCTGGACAGGCAGGGGGTGCCCGTGGGGGGCAGGGGGCCCTGCGGGGGGTGCCTGAAGCCCATTGCTGGGAAGGTGAGGGGGGAATGGGGGGCAGTGGGGGGCAATGGGGGTCAGTGAGTGTTAATGGGGTCAATGGGTGCCAATGGGGGGTCAATGGGGTCAATGGGTGTCAAAGGGGTCAGTGGGGGGCAGTGGGTGTTAATGGGGTCAATGGGTGCCAATGGGGGGTCAATGGGGTCAACGGGTGTCAGTGGGGTCAATGGGGGTCAGTGGGTGTCAAAGGGGTCAGTGGGAATCAGTGGGTGTTAATGGGGTCAATGGGTGTCAAAGGGATCAGTGGGGTCAATGGGGATCAGTGGCGATCAATGGGGGTCAATGGCGTCAACGGGTGTCAGTGGGGTCAATGGGGGTCAGTGGGGTCAATAGGGATCAGTGGGGTCAATGGGGATCAATGGGGATCAGTGGGGTCAATGGGGTCAATGGGGATCAGTGGGGTCAATGGGGTCAATGGGGTCAATGGGGATCAGTGGGGTCAATGGGGGTCAATGGGGTCAATGGGGGTCAGTGGGGTCAATGGGGGTCAATGGGGGTCAATGGGGATCAATGGGGTCAATGGGGGTCAATGGGGTCAATGGGGGTCGATGAGGGTCGATGGGGGTCAATGGGGTCAATGGGGGTCAATGGGGATCAATGGGGTTGATGGGAGTCAATGGGGGTCAATGGGGGTCAATGGGGGTCAATGGGGGTCAATGGGGATCAATGGGGCATCAATGGGGGTCAATGGGGTCAATGGGGGTCAATGGGGGGGTCAATGGGGTCAATGGGGGTCAATGGGTTCAATGGGCTCAATGGGGGTCAGTGGGGTCAATGGGGATCAGTGGGGTCAATGGGGATCAGTGGGGTCAATGGGTTCAATGGGGTCAATGGGGGTCAGTGGGGTCAATGGGGGTCAATGGGTTCAATGGGGTCAATGGGGGTCAATGGGGGTCAATGGGGGTCAATGGGGGTCAATGGGAGCCAATGGGAGTCAATGGGGATCAATGGGGTCAATGGGGTCAATGGGAGCCAATGGGAGCCAAAGGAGGACGCCATTGGCTCCTCCCCCCCCCCCCATGACGCATCACCCATTGGCCCCGC